AAAATGTATACAGGGTATGCTCTACAATGTTGCCTAATTGCTTAAGTGCAGCATGGGGTTTCTGGGCAAGGGGGACCCACCTAAAAGGCCGTCCAAAAGAAAAGTCATTGGACACTTCAGTTTCCTGAATGACAGGTCCTAAATATGCAACAACTTGCTTCCTTACAATGAGTCATTCCTGACCTCAGACCTTCTCAAAGATGGAATAAAAGTGCTCACACCTGTAATCCAAACACTTTGGGATGCTGAGGTGGGCAGATCATGAGGTCAAGAGATCGAGACCATCCTGGCCAACATGATGAAATCCCTTCTGTACCATAAATACAAAAATTAGGCGGGCGTGGTGGTGGGCACCTGTAGTTCCAGCTACTCGGGAGGCAGAGGTTGCAGTGAGCCGAGATCGAGCCACTGCACTCCAGCCTGGCGACAGAGACACTCCGTCTCAAAAAGATAAAAAAGCAAGCATAACGTGCAGTCTTTTGGAAGCCAGACGGAACCGGATATGAATGCTGTCATCTTAGCCACTTGCCTGAGCCTGTTTATATGCAACAGAGAAGACCTATCTCAGGGAATTGTTAATTAAACAGGATTTTCCTAAAAATGGCCTAATTCAGGAGCCAGAACTGAGGAGACCCTCAGCCCTTAGCAGCCGACTGTCCCTATTTGAGCTGGGGCAACATGAAGGGCGACAACCCACCCCGCACTTACGATGATCTTAAGGAAGTAGTTGGACTTCCAGGTCGCCCTGTCTTCCCTGGGCATCACGGCGGTGCGTCAGGGATTGCCACGCAGGGTTTAAAGACGATGTCACTGAGGAGAGATAGGGAGCTCAGGCCTGGTCACCCCGGCACCCATCCCCCGGTCCTAGGCCTACGCGGAGCAGGGCACGCGCAAGCGCCCGACGGCCCGGCCTAGGGTAGTCGCTGCCACCTCGGGGCGTGCGAGCCGCCACCGAGGCCCCAGAGGGAACAGGATAGGACTCCATGTTCCCAAAAGGCCCCCAAAGATCCCTCCATGCTTCCCGCCGCCGGCCCCTGGGGCCGATCGGCATGACGCACGAACCTTCCACGAGGACGCCTGGCGAAAGAAGGGCCGCGCGTTGGAGCGTTCATTTTATATGCGAACAAAGTAGCCAATCAGAAACCGCGGATAAGCACCCGCGCCTATTGGCTGGCGACATTGCTCGTCCGACAAAGCCGAACGAATACAGGCAGCCATTGGATAATATCGCTGCCACTTCAGTCAACGGGAAGCCGCCCTTTAAGTAGGGTCGTGAAGGAAGGAGCTGCCTGGCGTTGGAGGCGCTTGACCTGAGCTGCTGCCACCTGCTGGGCTGGAGCTGCCTTCTTGTAGGCGCTAGAGTAAGCTAGTTCGGAGTTCCCTCTGCCACCTGGCCAGCTCGGCAAACTAAACAGCATGGCATGGGGCTGAGACATAATTGCAATGCTCAGAACAGAGTGGTCTCTTGGTTTCTCTAGTTTGTTTTTCCTCCTACCAAAACAGAGGGATACTTTTATTTTTTTTTATTTTTTTATTTTATTTATTTTTTGTTGTTGTTGAGACGGAGTTTCACTCATGTTACCCAGGCTGGAGTGCAATGGCGCGATCTCGGCTCACCGCAGCCTCCGCCTCCTGGGTTCAGGCAATTCTCCTGCCTCAGCCTCCTGAGTAGCTGGGACTACAGGCACGCACCACCATGCCCAGCTAATTTTTTGTATTTTTAGTACAGACGGGGTTTCACCTTGTTGACCAGAATGGTCTCGATCTCTTGACCTCGTGATCCACCCGCCTTGGCCTCCCAAAGTGCTGGGATTACAGGCTTGAGCCACCGTGCCCGGCCCAGAGGGATACTTTTAAAACCTGGCCGGGCGCAGTGGCTCCTGCCTGTACTCTCAGCACTTTGAGAGGCCGAGGCCAGTGGATCACCTGACAGGGTCAGGTGTTCAGGACCAGCCTGGCCAACATGGCGAAACCCAGACTCTCCTAAAAATACAAAAATTAGCCGGATGTGGTGGCACATGCCTGTAATCCCAGATATTCGAGAGGCTGAGGCAGGAGAATCGCTTGAATCCGGGATACGGAAGTTGGCAGAGTGAACCGGGATCGTGCCTTTGCACTCCAGCCTAGGCGACAGAGAGAGACTCCGTGTCAAAACAAAACAAAACAAAAAAACCTTTAAGGCAGCTCATCTCCTTATCTTCTCAAACCTTTCCGTTTCCTACAAAGTAAAACCTAAAATCTAAACTACTTACAAGGCCCTACCTATCTGCCCGTCATGCCCTCTATAACCATCTCAGATGTTTTTCCCCTGACTTATTTGCTTTCCAGCCAGATGCTGCTCTGCTGTTTTTCCAGCGCAGGCTTCACTTGAGGGCTTTTGCATTGACCGTTTCCTCTTCCTAGAAAACTAGCCAACAAACATCCACAGAGTGATTCACCTCCATCAAATCTTTTTTTTTTTTTTTTTTTTTTTTTTTTTTTAAAAATTTTTTTTTTTTTTTTTTTTTTTTTTTGAGAAGGAATCTCTCTCTGTTGCCCAGGCAGAGTGCAGTGGAGCGATCTCAGCTTCTTGCAGCCTTGACCTCCCAGGTTGAAACGATCCTCCCAAGAAGCTGGGACTACAGGTGCACACCACCACACCTGGCTAATTTTTTGTATAGTTGGGGTTTCGCCATATTGTCCAGATTGGTGTCAAACTCCTGAACTCAAGTGATCCTCCCACCCTGGCCTCCTAAATTGCTGGGATTACAGGCATGAGCCATCTTGCCCAACCCTGAGATCTCTTTTTGATGGTCATGTATTACTGCACGCTTAGCATCATCCTGAGTACATTACTGAAGCTAATCTTCGCAACAGTCCTCTGAGGAGATACAGTCCTGTGTTAGTACTCCCATTTTATCGATGAGAATACTCACAGGAAGTTTAAATAATTTGCCCAAGTCTCTCAGCCAGTAAGTGATGGCTTCAGAACTGAAATCTAGGAGGAAGTTCAAAGCCCCTGGGGCTCACTGTGCTATACAGTCCCTTCCAAACCCCAAGTCTGCCTCCCTCTGAATGCACTTTTCCAAGTATATACATATGCAAAAGGTACATTTCCAAGGGCCTCTTAGCTCTGATGATATAAATATCATCTCTAATTGTAGTACATCAATATAACGGAATACCATGAAGCCGTTAGAAAATGGTGTAGATCTATATTTATTGACATGGGAAAATATCCACAAAGCAAAGTGAAAAGCAAATTACAATGAAATATAGCATATCCATTTCTAGCAATAAGATAAATCCAACATGGGCTAGAAGAATAAACCAAGTTACTCTCTTGAACTCCTGGGCTCAAGTGATCCTTCCACCTTGGCTTCCCAAAATGCTAGGATTATAGGCCTGAGCCACAGAGCCTGGTCCTGTCATTCTCTTTGGGTGAGGGTTGCAGGTAATTTTCACTTCTGAGCTCACTATAGCATGGGAAGGGTTTAGACTAGAATTCAACATGCTGCTTTTGGAGAACCATTTGAAACAGCAGGGAAGCTGTGAAGACACAGCTCAAGGTGAAACAAAGCTGGCCAGGAAGCTCTAGGGAAAGCTTGTCCAATCCATGGCCTGTGGGTTGCATGTGGCCCAGGACAGCTTTGAATGCGGCCTAAAGCAAATTTGTAAATTTTCTTTAAACATTATGAGATTTGTGATTTTTTTTTTTTTTTTTTAGCTCATCAGCTATCATTGGTGTTAGTGTATTTTATGTGTGTCCCAAGACAATTTTTTTTCCGATGTGGCCCCAGGAAGCCAAAAGATCGGATACTCAGCAGGCACAGTGGCTCATGCTTATAATCCCAGCACCTTGGGAGGTCAAAGTGGGCAGATCACTTGAGGCCAGGAGTTAAAGACCAGCCTGGCTAATGTGGTGAAGATCCGTCTCTACTAAAAATAAAAAAATTAGCTGGATATGGTGGTGGGCACTGTCATCTCAGCTACCTGAGAGGCTGAGGCATGAGAATTGCTTGAACCTGGGAGGCAGAGGCTACAGTGAGCCAAGGACATGCCACTACATTCTAGCTTGGGGGACAGAGCTAGGCTCCATCTCAAAAAAAAAAAAAAAAAATGCCAGGAGTGGTGACTCACGCCTAAAATCCCAGCACTTTGGAGGCCGAGGCAGATCACTCGAGGTCAGGAGTTTGAGACCAGCCTGGCCAACATGGTGAAACCCTGGCTCTACTAAAAATACAAAAATTAGCCAGGCATAGTGGCAGGTGCCTGTAATCCCACTTAAGTAGGAGGCTGAGGCAGGAGGCAGGAGTATCGCTTGAACCCAGGAGGCAGAGGTTGCAGTGAGCCAAGATCATGCCACTGTACTCCAACCTGGGCAGAGTGAGACTGTATCTAAAAAAAAGATTAGCCATCGTTGCTCTAGGGCCTAGGACTGGTGCTCTGGATCTGACCAAAGAGGAGGCATGCAAATACGGTCGTGACCATGCGGAGGCAGTAGAGACCCATCCTCAACTCAAGTAGCTGACTTCGGCAGGAAGGGGCTACACCCAAGCTGTGTGGGCTCAGGCACAGCAGTTCAGCGCAGGAACACAGGCAGAGGCAAGCCTGGGGTTCACATCATGGCTCTGCCCTCACTGATTGCCTTGAACATGTAGGTTCTTGTCTTGGAGTCTCTTTCCCTGTCTCTAAATGAGTGGAAGGCCACCCACAGGCCCATGTGAGTGAGGCTGCCCTCGGTAAACCCAGGTGATCACACCCCAGGAAGGCCCTGCCCACAAGGGTCAGTCCCGCTGCTCCCCAGCCTGTCCTCACCAACAGGCAAGAGCAAAGCACACGGAGAGGAACTGTGACCACAGGCAAGGACCACAGACCCCAGCCCCAGGGATTTTGACCTTAAGAAAGGAAACATCCACAATTCACCCTCAATCTGGTGACTCTGCTGCATCTGGGGTGGGTTTGGTCTCTGCTGGGACCACGGGGTTATCTCAGGCCACCAAGAAATGGCACTACACAGGTGAAAATCACGGCAAACTTTATTGGCATAAATCACAGGAACTGAAATGGGAAAAGCCAGGTTAGATGTTTACAGAGAAAAAAATAAAATGAAAGTCAAATTTTCAAATAACCATTGACTCAGGGAGTGGACCCCAGAAACCCCAGTCCCTCTTGGAGAAGGTCTAGGGCAGGTCACTGTAAACAGAGCGGTAAGGCCTGTGGGTAGAAGGGGAAACCTCCAGAGTGGCCAGGCTGACCTCCCCACAGCTACAAAGGAGGGACCCTCTTCTGAGACCCCAGCACACTTGGCTTCTGCCAGGAGGCCAGTGGAGTGGTCTGGACTCTCCCCGTGAGACCCCGGTGGGGCCCTTTTCTCTTGATCAGGAGCCTAAGGCCAGGCTCCTCTTTCGTCCTCAGTCAGGAGCTCTGGGGGTTTCCCCAGAGGAGTTTGTCCCTCTGCCCCAAATCCTATCACACTCCCTTATGACCTTCTTTCCAGACCCCCTGAGTGCCAATCCCACAAGTGAATGGGGAGGAGACAGACCCAGGCTCCCGGGAGAGCACATCTGGGGGAGGGATATGCCCAGAGGAAATCAACAAGACCAATGAGACGTCGGAGTCCTGACGGCCAAAATCAGACACCCGCTTTCCTGAGAAGGCAGAAGAGGGCCCCAGAGAAGCGGTAGAGGCTGAGAAGGTTCAGGGGTTCACGGGGGAGCAGAGGCTCCTGAGGGCTTACTCAGACAGGAAGCAGCCCCCCAAAACAGACTTTCCCCTTCTCCTGCAGAGACAGAACAGATGAGGTTCAGAATTCCAGCCCCGAAAGGGCGAGACACTCTTCAACCAGTTTCAGTGAAGAGCTTGCTGGCCTGGGAAGTAAGAAGGGGCTTCCAAATACAGCAGTTTATAAAACAGTCCTGGTGAGCTGTGAAGTGAAAGAGCAGGAGTCAGAGCTGCTCCCCGTTCACCTGCTTGTGCCAAAAAAACATAAAATACAAATTGCTTTCCCACCCCAGCCCTCAGTACAAAGCCAACTCCACACCAGGGCCACCGTCAGCAACAGGCCCAGTGGCGGTGGACAAGGAGAATACAAAAGGGAACGTCTTTAAAATCTCTTCAAAATCATTTTGTATACAGAAGTAAAAGCAACTCAGGCGATATGAATTCAAACCTCAGTGTAGAAATCTATCAAAGTCAGTACAGTGTCCAGGCACGCTGTCCCGGAGACGGAGGAAGTGGCTATAAAACATTATTGCTGGAGAGGCTTTTCTCAGTAGAACCAGAGCAGGTATAAAAGGGGAAGGCAGATAAAGGCAGGGGCAGTCGTCCAGGCCTACGGCGCTGGAAGGGTAGGAGGAGCACAGAGAACCTTCCATGGCCCCTTAGGTTCTCTGCCTTTGGATGGATGGATCTATGCTGGCATTGTCTCGAGGGAGCCGGGTGTCCCCCAGTACTCACAGAACAGACAGTTAGGTCGGGGGAGAAATAAGGATAAAAAGAGACCCCAGCAGACCCAGCCTGCCCTTCCCTGTCCCCCGACCCTGGCTGCACTGCTGAAATATGAGGAAGAGATGGCTCCAGTGTGGGGTGCTGGCCAGGCCAGTTCATGGAACATACGTGGCCTGGGGTGGGCCCCCAGCCTCCAGCTCTGGGGAGGATGGAGAGTGAGCAGCCTGGGGAGAGTGGCAGGAGGAAGGAGGGGGCCCAGAGGTTCCAGCAAGGGTGAAGACAAGCAGGGAGACCCCTCACGGCCCTCTGTCCATCCTGCACCAGCCATGGACAGGAGGGTTCCAGTTTCAGTCGGGTTTACCCCTTCACCCCAGGGCGAGGTCTCTGGGTCACAGTAGCAGTTGGGGATGCTGGCTGGGGAGGGGGGCAGAGACAGGGACAGGGCGCCTAGCAGAAGAGCTTGAGGAAGCAGTTCTGACAGTAAGGCTTGTCGTTCTGCTCCTTAAAGGTGCCCTTGTTGAGCTGCTTGAGGCAGAAGGCACAGACGAAGTGCTCGGGGTGGAACTTCTTGGCCATGGCGGTGATGCAGCGGCCGGTGATGGGCTTCTGACAGCCAGAGCACAGCGAGCCGCGCCGCTCGTGGTAGTGTACCTCACAGTAGGGCTGCCCGTCATGCTCGAAGAAGCTGCCGTTGACGAATGGCGTGAAGCATTCCTGCCAGGCGGAGAGAGGGGCTTAGAGACGGGCATGTCAGCACACCCCTGGTGCATCCTACTTGCTAGAAATTTCATACGTGCCATGCTGTCCTAAAATAACACTGATTTTTATTTTTTATTTTATTTATTTATTTTTTGAGACTGAGTCTTGCTCTGTCACCTAGGCTGGAGTGCAATGGCACAATCTTGGCTCACTGCAACCCCAGCCTCCTGGGTTCAAGCAATTCTTCTGCCTCGGCCTCCTGAGTAGCTGGGATTACAGGCACATGCCACCACACCTGGATAATTTTTTTTTTATTTAGTAGAGACAGAATTTCTCCACATTGGCCAGGCCAGTCTTGAACTTCCAGCTGACCTCAGGTGACCTGCCCATCTCAGCCTCCCAGAGTGCTGGGACTACAGGCATGAGCCACCACACCTGGCCTATTTTTATTATATTAAAAAATTTTTTTTGTAGAGATGGGAGTCTCACTATATTGCCCATGCTGGTCAAACTCGGCCTCCAGCAATCCTCCCAACTTGGCCTCCCACAGTGCTGGGATTATTTAATTCTCCCAACAGGGAGGCAACTGAGGTGCAGAGATGATGTGACTGGCCCAGGGTTATGCAGTACTGAGTTCACAGGCTGGATCTTACATAGATCTGACTGCTGGGTGCTTAGCCAGGTGGCTGTAACACTGCTCCCAGAAACACAGGTGCTGACACTGGTCTGTGGTCAAACTCTGCATCCCAGATTCTCATTGGAGAGTCACGTGCACATGTACGTAGAAAAGGCTCTGGGAGAGGCCGGGTGTGGTGGCTCACACCTGTAATCCCAGCACTTTGGGAGGCCGAGGCAGGCGGATCACCTGTGGTCAGGAGTTTGAGACAAGCCTGGCCAACATGGTGAAACCCCATTTCTACTAAAAATACAAAAAATTAGCCAGGCATGGTGGTGGGTGCCTGTAATCCCAGCTACTTGGGAGGCTGAGGCGGGAGAATCACTGGAACCCAGGAGGTGGAGGTTGCAGTGAGCTGAGATCGCACCGCTGCACTCCAGCCTGGGCAACAGAGTGAGACCTCGTCTCAAAAACAAAAAAGGAAAGAAAAGGCTCTGAGAAGTCTTGCAGGGAACACTGTTCCCCAACTCATTTGGTCAGAGAGCCCTTTTGAATCCCTAATAACCTCTGCGGGGCCCCAGAATGCCGTGGTTTTGGAAACCACCGCCCACTTCTGTCGAGTCTGCTAAATACTTGCATTATCTCATTCAATTCTCACACACTCTCCTCCCGAACAGGAATGCCCAGGGCCTCTGCACAGGGCTGGAGGGGGACATGTCTACCTTGCTCCTGGTTTGTCCCAGCCTCAGTACAAGTCCTGGCCCAGGACCTACTGGACCCCCTGCCAGCTCCCCCTATTAATAACCCCAAATGAGGCCTCGGAGTTGGATCCAGAGAGCACAATGCAGAAGACCCCTCTCTCCCCACTCCCTGCTCCCAGCCCCCTCCAGATGCGGTCAGGGGCTCCTTACCCGGCACACGAAGCACTCGGGATGCCACAGTGTGTTGAGGGCCGAGATGTAGTTCTCCAGGATGGCCCGGGCACAGCCGCCACACTTGGGCGCAAACATGTCGAAGTAGTCCTTGCGGCAGTAGGCCTTGCCGTCCTTCTCGTGGAACCCTGGGGAGCGGGGGTTTTGGAGGCACAGTTCTTTCAGGGTTCCAGAAGTAGAGCCACCCTGACTCCAGCCTCAGCAGCGTCTCCCACCCCCGCCTCCCCAGCCCTCCTAAGAGAAGGCGAGTCAGCCTGTCGGCCCAGCCCATACCTTCAGGACCAAAGAAGGCTCCACACTGGGCACAGAAGAAGTGTTCAGGGTGCCACGTCCGGTCAAGGGCTGTCACCACTTTCTGTGAAAACAAAGTGTGGATCAAGGCTGAGCTCCACCGCACTGGACAGATCTCACGACTGAGACTCCCAGCAAGACCATCCTCCACCCACAACTCATAGCCACACAGAGCAAAACACTCCCAAGATCGGGGTCTCTGCTAATTGTGCTACGAATGCCTCTAAGAAGGCAGAGTTGCTGAGGATGGGACATGCCGGATCCACACCCTCTCCTTCAATCCTCACCCCAAGTAGAGGTCACAGGTTCTACTGTGATTCCCTTTTTTTTCTTTTTTCTTTTTTTTTTGAGACGGAGTTTCGCTCTTGTTACCCAGGCTGGAGTGCAATGGCGCGATCTCGGCTCACCGCAACCT